TTTTGCAGCTGAATCAGCCAATTCATTATCATAAATATTCATATAAGCAGGAACTCAGTGCAGATGAATTATCAGCTTTGATGTTCTTCTCTTTTGAATTTTCAAAATAGAGTTTAAGATCAGTTCAAGATTCATTTGATCATTATAAATCTGACTATTTCTAAGTCTTTTTAAAGCAGCTTGACTATCAGAGAATATTCATGCCTCTTTCAAATAATTTCCTCTTTTATGAGATTTTATTTCAATGAGTTTGAAAGCTTTCACTATTGTAAATAGTTCAGCATCAAAGACTTCACATTCAGAGTCTAGATTTCAGAAATCTGAGATAAAATTGATATTATCTTCAGTATAAGCAATTCCTGTGTCTAATCTATTCAAGTTCTCATTTTTTGAGCCATCTGAATAAATCAGAATAGAGTCTTTTATATTAATTGTAGAAATTCTCTTCAAATGCTGTTCATATTCTTTCTCTTTTGATAGTTCACTTATTTATAAGTCTATAAGAGATTCAAGCTTTTCTCTCCAGAGAGATAACTTCTCATGATCAACTTTTTCAATATTTAAAGAAGAAAATTGATTTTTAATCAGAGAGCATAGTCTGTACAGTTGAGAAGGCATTTTCTTTGAAGAATTATTTTCATTTCAATCAAGAAATCTATTTCAATCCAGTTCATTATCAGAGTTAATTGATGAAAATGAAGAAGAGACTCTTTCTCTGATTATATAATTTGAGCTCATCTTTACAACTCTCAGAGCATAGTTCATACAGGCCTTTTCAAATCTAATAGCAGAAGGAGAAATTGAAGCTTCAATTTTCATTGCTTTAATAGGAGATGATTTGAATGCTCTCAGAATTCTTCTCAAGGCTCTGTTTTGCAGACTTTGAAAGAGTTCAGTGAAATTCCCTTGATTATTTTATCAAACTTAAACTTCATAATCAGCTACTGATGTAATACAGGCTATATATAACTGTCTCATAGCCTGGAAGAATAGACCTCTCTCTGTATTTAATAGTCTGATTATGTTGTTCAATAGTCTTTCTGCCTTGACAGTTCTTTGTTGAACATGATATTTAAAATTCAACTTGAAGTTTAATCATACTCCTAATCATTTGACATTTACACTGGGTTTAATCTCTCTATTTAAAAGAATTAGAGATAGTTCTTTCTCATTGAATCTCAGAAAGAAGTGAATTAACTCAGTTTTATTCATATCAAATTGAATTTGATTGATATCTGCTCTAACAAAGATTTTCTTTGCAGCTTCTTCAATTACTTTCAAATTCTCTTTAATAGTTTTTGAGCTGTAGACTAGATCAATATCATTCACATAACTCAGAGATTGCACTATTCTCATATTTCTATTTTTAAATAGATATACAGTGTATATTGCAAATAAAATGAGTGAGATTGAAGATCTCTGTGATACTCTCACTTTTATCTCAGTCTTGTCTTATTTCATTCCATCAAAGAAGAGTTGTATACTTCTTTTAGACATAAAACAGTTAACTCATTTTATTAGAGAAAGTGACAGTTTTAATATCTTCAATGTCTGAATTAATCTTGACTTTAAAACATGATCAAATGCTTCTTTTATATCAATAAAAACTGCAGTTGAGACCAGATTCTCATGCTTTGCTATTTGAATATCATGAACAACTGAGAGAACAGTGTCAATTGCAGAACACTGTTTTCTATCTCTCATTTATTCACTGAATAAAAGAGAATCATCTATAGAGCTTATAAAAGATAGTTGAGTAGCTATTATCTTTTCTAAAACCTTTCCTAGGCAGTTCAATAGAGATATTACTCTATATGACTTAGGAATTGAAGTTTTTCTATTAGGTTTTGCAAGAATTACTCCAGTGGCTTCTCTCCAGCATTCAGAATGATATTCATTTTTCAAGAGATTGAAAAAGAGCTCAAAATATTCATTCTTTAAGTAGAAATATGTATTCTGAATAATCAAGTGATTAATTGAATCAGGATCTGCAGCAGTTTTAACAGAACTTGAGAAGATAGCTGACTCTAATTCATCTTGTGTAAGATCAGATCATTCTCAGTCATTTTCATCAATGTAGTTGAGAAGTGATATATTCTCTTCCTCTGAATCTGAATCTGAATCTGATGAGTTCTGAAAGAGAATTCTCATGAAAGCTTGACATTTTTTCTTAAAAGAGTTTGCTGTATATGATTCATTCTGAAACTCATATTCTAAGACTGGAAGTTTTGCTACACTTCTTGTTTTAGTATAGTTAAAAGCTTTAAAAACTTTCTTCTCTTATGCTTCTTCAAGAAATTTATTCCAGCAGTCTGTTTTAGCTCTTTTAATATCTGAAAAATATTCATTTCTGACAGCTTTGAACTCTTCATCAGATATTACATCATTCTTTCAATCTCTTCTAGCAGTAGCTAATTCTTTTCTTTTAGATGAGATATTCTCATTTCATCAAGGTTTTGAATACTCAGAAGATTTTCTCTTTGAAATATTATCTCTAATACTTGTTAGAATAATAGATGTAATAAGCTTCACTCTATTCTCAAGCATTTCATTTGAGATATCTTGACCAGAATTCCAATATAGCTCATT